CGGTAAGGAACCCTAATCCCGTTTTTTTTTTGCTCGGATAAATCGCTCTTGTCGGTCCGCGGGATCGTTCATTTCGATGCTGCCGCTCAAATCAGATTGTTTGTTTCTCTGGAATCCGTAGAGTTCGTCGGGTATATGCTGCTTGCTGCGTGAGTAATGCAGTGCTCTAGAAGCGGTTTATTTTTGTCCGTTTTTCTTTTTTTTTTGTTTGGGGTTTTAACGGAAATCCCCCTGGTCCCTGTCATGTAGGTGTTGATTTACACGGTAGGCTCTGTTTCGCTGCCGTGCGAGTTATAGGTTTATCTGTAGTTTTCAGCGTTTTGAAGTTGTTCATATCACGATTTGGCAGAGCGTAGAGTCCAGGGAGAGCCTATTTTTCTTTTTTCTCTAGTTACCCTTTTTCCTAGCTCGAACGACCTTCAACAAAAGGGTACCTATACCCGAAACCGACACATTCACCAAGTATCGGGAAGGCATGGAGAAGCATTTAGGGCATCGTCATGTTTCTTTAGTCCTTCGCACTGGGTAACCGTTCCAAACGGTTCAGCACAAGTGCTTCTGTTGTTGCGTAGTCCTCTTTTGGCAGTGTTCCATGTTGCTCATGTTAGGGCGAAGCCAGTTGGAAATGACGTTGGGGTCAGCTCCACTAAAGTGATAGAATTAAGTTAGCGATGTAAAGGATTTGCTAAGAAATTATAGAATTTCGTCAGGGTTGGTGGACCCCAGTGAAAGGGCCTAGCTCCGCCCCTGTAATGTAGTAAATACATCCATCTGCCCTGGCTTCAATCAAATCGTGTGAAGCACTTTGGTGTCCATATGCCTTGGATGCTAGGGTCATGTCAGGTTTGCCTTTTTATTCCTTGGATTTTAACTTAGACACAGGCTGTATGTGCTTAATGGGGGTCTTTAATCTTGCTGAAACTCTGGGCATCTCCTTTCTTAATATGTTGCCAGCATCTAGTCATTCATGGTCATATTGTGCTTAAGTTCGTTAGATCAATGTATTCATACAATGTGGTGTAGATATGTGTGTTTGTTCTCTGTGGGGCGATATACCTTTTTTATCTGTTGGTCGATATAATTTAGTTTGCATTGGATGCTGATGATGTTAGGGTAGTGACCTGTTCATCATATAATATACTTAATTGCAATTTGGGTGTACAATATTACTGTTGCTTTTCTTTATGCTTTTTTTATGGAACACGCAAGAGAGCTGCATATCATTATATTAAGAAGGAATATTTATGTTTTCTTCTCATGTAATATTCAGCTGTATCATGAATATTGTTGCTGTATAATTTCTTCATTGCCCATAGGTTGCATGGCGTCCTTTTCTGTTATTAGGTTAAAAATCGTTTATGGCGTTAATCATTTTCTGCTCAAGTTGTATTGTATGATTTTATGGCTTCTTTGAGCATGTTCTTTAGCTCTGAATGGTTGGTCATATACATTGGTTGATTCGGCTGTTTATTAGTGATAATCTTGAATTGCTGATGTGGCTAAGCAAATGTTATGTGTATGGGCTTTAATATGGATGAAAAATTTGCATACAGTGCCTTTGTTGAATGAGTTGTTTGGCTAATATACGTGCTGTGAACAATGTTGTTTTGAATGCAAAAGCTTTAAGCTATGCTCAACTGTCTCAGTGTCCTACTGACCTTTAGTAATCTGCACTGTTGATGTATTGTGTTGCTTGTTGATTTCCTGTGATTCCTTGCTGACTGACTAAATCTGTTATTTTTTATGTACGCTACAGCCATGGATATCACTCAGGTTCTGCTAGCTGCTCAATCTCCAGATGCTAACCTTCGAACAGTAGCAGAAGGCAACCTCACGCAGTTCCAGGAGCAGAATCTTCCTAACTTCCTCCTCTCCTTATCAGTAGAGCTCTCAAACGATGAAAAACCTCCGGAGTCTAGAAGGCTTGCTGGTATTATTCTTAAGAATTCTTTGGACGCAAAGGATTCTGCGAAAAAGGAGCTACTGACTCAGCAATGGGTAAGCGTGGATCCATCTATAAAATTGAAGATCAAGGAGTCGTTGCTGGTGACCCTTGGATCTTCGGTGCATGATGCAAGGCACACCTCTTCACAAGTCATTGCCAAGGTTGCATCAATTGAGATACCACGCCGAGAATGGCAAGACCTTGTTGCCAAATTACTGGGGAGCATGACTTCTCCAGGCGCGTTGCTCCTTTGAAACAAGCAACACTAGAGGCATTGGGGTATGTGTGCGAGGAGATTTCTCCACAGGACTTGGAGCAGGACCAAGTGAATGCTGTTCTTACTGCTGTTGTTCAGGGAATGAACCAGACAGAGCTCAGCCCTGAAGTTCGTCTTGCTGCAGTTAAGGCCCTATATAATGCTCTTGACTTTGCTGAGAGTAACTTTGCAAATGAAATGGAGAGGAATTATATAATGAAGGTGGTTTGTGAGACTGCTGTGTCTAAAGAAGTGGAGATCAGACAGGCAGCATTTGAATGCCTTGTTGCAATAGCATCCACATATTATTCACACTTAGATCCTTATATGCAAACCATATTCAACCTGACAGCTCATGCAGTGAAAGGTGATGAGGAATCGGTTGCACTTCAAGCTGTTGAGTTCTGGAGCGCTATTTGTGATGAAGAGATTGCACTACAAGATGAATATGAGGGATCTGAGGATGGCAACTCTACTGTACACTTTCGCTTTATTGAAAAAGCCCTCCCTTCACTTGTTCCAATGCTGCTAGAAACTTTGTTGAAGCAAGAGGAAGATCAAGATCAAGATGATAATGTTTGGAGCATTTCTATGAGTGGTGGGACGTGCCTTGGACTCATTTCTAGAACTGTTGGTGATGCAGTTGTCCCTCTTGTGATGCCATTTGTGGAGGCCAACATCACAAAGCCTGATTGGCATTGTCGGGAGGCAGCTACCTTTGCATTTGGTTCTATCCTTGAAGGCCCCTCTGTTGAAAAACTTGCTCCACTTGTCCAGGCTGGGCTTGATTTCTTGCTCAACACAATGAGTGATGCAAATAGCCAGGTAAAAGATACTACTGCTTGGACTCTTGGGAGGGTATTTGAGCTCTTGCATTCTCCAGCTGGTGCAAGCCCAATCATAAATAATTCAAACCTTCCTCGAATCATATCTGTGTTGCTTGAGAGTAGTAATGATGCTCCAAATGTGGCTGAGAAAGTCTGTGGAGCTATTTATTTTCTCGCCCAAGGATATGAAGATGCAGAGTCAATGTCTTCTGTGCTCACACCTTATCTACCTAATATCATTGCTGCTCTTCTTTCTGCCGCGGACCGTGCTGATACCACCCATTTCAGGCTTCGTGCTTCTGCTTATGAAGCACTGAATGAGATTGTGAGAGTCAGCCACATACCTGAAACTTCAGGCATCATAGGTCAATTGTTGCAGGAGATCATGAGAAGATTAAACCTTACATTTGATCTGCATATACTTTCTTCTGGTGATAAGGAGAAGCAAAGCGATCTGCAGGCTTTGCTATGTGGTGTTCTGCAGGTCATTATCCAGAAACTGAGCAGCACAGATGCAAAGTCCATAATTTCTCAGACTGCTGATCAGCTGATGATGCTGTTTCTGCGTGTCTTTGCCTGCCACAATTCTACTGTTCATGAAGAAGCAATGCTTGCAATTGGTGCTCTTGCATATGCTACTGGTCCAGATTTTGCGAAATACATGCCTAACTTCTTCACATACCTGGAGGCTGGCTTGCAGAATTATGAAGAGCACCAAGTGTGTTCCATCTCTGTTGGGGTGGTTGGTGATATTTGTCGTGCCTTGGAAGATAAAATTTTGCCCTTCTGTGATCGCATTATGACTCTTCTTCTAAAGGACCTATCAAGCTCTATGCTCAATCGGTCTGTGAAGCCTCCGATTTTCTCATGCTTTGGAGACATCGCTCTTGCTATTGGCGAGAATTTTGAGAAATACCTACCATATGCCATGCCAATGCTTCAAGGAGCTGCGGGACTCCTTGGTACTCTTGATCAGAGTGATGATGATATGGTTGATTATGGCAACCAGCTCAGATGCGGCATTTTTGAGGCATACTCTGGTATACTCCAGGGCATCAAGGGCCCAAAAGCTCAGCTGATGATCCCATATGCAACCCATCTACTACAGTTCACTGAAGCTGTCTTCAAAGATAGGAGCAGGTGCCTTTCATTTGCATTGTAATTTCTGTTCAATTGTTTTTTGTTACCTGTTTCTCACAGTTATAGTATATCCCTGTTCTATTGTTGTTTGTGCCATCAGGGATGACAGTGTGACAAAGGCTGCTGTTGCTGTCCTTGGGGATCTCGCAGACACTCTTGGCCAGAGCTCAAAGGATCTGTTCAAGACCCACCTATTCCATGTTGAATTCTTGAGGGAGTGCCAAGCCCAAGAGTTGGATGATGAAGTTCGGGAGACTGCACAATGGGCACAGGGGATGATAAACCAGGCGGTGGTGGTCTCATGATGTGGGACGATTTTGGTCTGTTGGGTATGGGAGGTTTCTTTTGTGGCTGTGCCAAGTTCATTTGCCACAGATGAACGAAAGGATACCAATATATATGTAGCGTCAGTCTTAGGATCATGATAGGCATTTGTGCGTTGTTGTTGGTCTGTCAAGCTGGTGTGCGTCACATTGGACTGGGTGGTTTCTGTCCGTGGATATCTTGAACAGCAAAACTTGGTTCATTTATCTTGGTATTTTTCAATGTTGGTGATGTGTTTGCTTCCTGTTTTTCATTTCTTATCCAGCCGATCAAATTTATATAGGATGCACCACGCAGGCTTCCTTTTGTTCATATGTACAGATGGACAGACTTCAACAGAAACCCAAAAAATAAAATCAGCAAAAAGAAGCAACCTGTATTATCTACTACCAAACAGCTTTTTCATGTGCATTTGAACTAATAAACATTGTTCTGGAAATTTCGTTCTTTTTTTAGGATTTGGATCGATATCTTAATTTGTATAAACATTGGCACGTCCGTCTTGAGTTCAGTTGAGCTCTGTGGAGATGATCTCCAGCTCCGCCCACCACAGGGGCGACACCTTGGGGGTGGCCGCGTCGGGTGGCATGGCGGTGATCTCCCTGAGGCGCTTGGCGACCTCCGGCATGGCTAGCCGCCGCCTGGGCTCCCGGTCGGTGCAGCCCCTGATGACGCCGTCCAGCCTGTCGACGGTGGCGGCGTGGAAGGAGCTCCGCAGGGCGGGGTCCATCACGTCCCTGAGCTGCCGCTCCCCTCTGAGGTAGGCCGCGGCCCAGCTCTCGAGCAGGCCGCCGTCCGACGCCGTGAACCGGCCGGTCATGGTCTCCAGCAGCACCATCCCGTAGCTGTACACCACGCTCTCCCTGTCCGACAGCGCCGGCGGGGACAGCGACAGCGACAGGGACAGGCGGGGCTCGTCGCAGAAGAAGACGTCGGAGATCTTGGCCGCGAAGGTCGTCGGTGAGGCAGATGGTGGACGTGTCCAGCGCCCGCAGGATCTCCGGCGGGCTCAGATGGTGCATGTGCTCCAGGCAGTAGGCCACGCCCACCGCCACGCGCAGGCGAGTCGGCCAGTCCAGGTAACCGTCTTCTCTAACTGCAGCGCATGCAGACACCATCAGTATGATTAAGATTATGACTTCCTCCAATGCAATGCAGCGAAGTGATTACCGTGTAGATGCTCAAAGAGCGTGCCGTTTGGCGCGTACTCGAACACCATCATCCTTGTGAAGGGCTGCTCTTCCTGGCAGTAGCCCAGCAGGTTCACGAAGTTCTTGTGGTTCACTCTGGACAGGCTTGTTATCTGAAAGTGAAAGGTTTGCATTACTACTCTAGTACTCTACCCTTGATGTCAGTTAATCTGTTACTAGTTTCATGAAGATCACATATTGGATGGACAGTTTCAGAGTGGCATTTAGTATTTTTTACCTTCTTCTTGAACTGTGATTCACAGTGCTTGGACCATTCTTTGGCAGAGTTCTTGGTGGTGGACACCACCGCGATCTCCACGCCGGTCGACAGGGTCCCCTTGTACACCATGTATTCCGGCAAGGAGCCAATGACGTTGCTGAAATCCTCGCAGGCGATCTCAAGCTCCGACCTCTTGAGCGACGGCACACCTGTGACAAACGCCTTCTGCAGCTGGCCGCTGAGTCCGGTCGCCCATGGCCTGACGGTGACCACCTTGTTGGACCGGTAGAACAGGACGAAGAGAGCCACCGACACGGCCGCGGCAAGGGACGCCCCGGCCGCCGCAATGACATAGACAGGCCTGCTAACACCAGAGTGCGGCCTCGCTCCGGCCGCCACGCCTGCAACCACCGGCCTACTGCCGAAGTCGGCCTGTACCACCACCACCGGCGGCTGTGGGGGCAGCACGATGCTGCTGTGCCAAGGATCTGAGACGACCACCGCCGCCGCCGGCGAAGGTGCCGGGGCTTGCGTTGGTGGAAAGCTCATCGTCGGCGGCGTAGCCGCCTGGGGTGCCCACGGCAGCCATGGCGGCCACTGGTCTGTCGTCGTCACATCTGGCAACGACGCCTTGTTGCCGAAATGCCCGGACCAGTACCTGTTCTGCTGCTGCTGCTCTCGCAGGAATGTCCTGGTACGGTCACCGTGGATTATCTTTATCCTTCCAATAATTGATCGGAAGCATGCAAAGGGGTGTGTGAGCGCAAGAGGCACAGAACAATCAACAATCTGACAAAGCTCCCGTTCGGCTGGCAGAATTTTAACTGAAATTAGCTGAAAAATACTGTTCTGGTTGAATTGTTGTGAGAGAAAAAAACTATTCCGAATGAAAAAAAGAAGCCGAACGAGCCGAATATGGGGTAAGCCAAACAGGGCCGCATGTACCATCATCTCATCTGGGGCTGCTTGGTGGTGGTGGTTCAGCTGTCAATTCCTGACAGCCAATGGATGATTCCAAGCTCACCTTGTGTCTATCTACTATATCTAGTATAGTTGGTCCGGAGTACGTACTACAGATGGTGAAAAGTGATTCAGGAAGGTAGATATATAGGCGTGCCGAATATTTGTGGACTTACTTTAGGTGATCTGCATGGATTTTTTTATTTGCTGTTTCAACCTGTTCGCTTGTTGGTTTTAGCCAGGACTTATCAATCAGCCAATAGTGTTTTCTTCTTACAACAAACCAGCACCAGCCGAGCTTATTAGCCCAAAAACCGACGAACAGGTTAGCTGATTCGGTGCTGGCCTTTTCAGGTAGTATTGGTCACCAAAAAGAAAAAAACCGACCAAGGCCTGTGAGAATCCGCCTAATGCCGCTAATGTTCGAGCCATGAACAATTTTTATTTTTTTAGGGGAACAGTCCAAAACTGGAAATTCTCAAAGAAAACTAAAATTGTTGCTGCTCATGATTAGTTGAGAGATCTCACCTAGCTTGGGAGGCAGAGCCGATACCTTCTTCTGGGTTCATAGTTCCTCCTACAGGTACAGGCAGTTAGTATCTATCACCAAAACATGTATCAAATTCTTAAGGCGTGAAGTTGTGAACTGAGTGGAGTAACCAAGCTTTCTCTCATAAAAAAGGAGAACACTAGGATTAAGGTACCATGGATTGTTGCGCAATTATCTTATATACTCACATTGAAGAGGGAAAACACAAACAGAGACACACTGACATAACATACATACCTTGTTCGACACCGTTGCAGCTGCCGAGATCAGGGAGCGCGGAGAGCACCACGAGCAGCACAGCCAGCACCCGGTGGCGGCGCGTCTTCTCCATGGACGCCGGCGAGATTCTACTACGGAGCAACATGGGGACGCCGAATCATGCACTGATCATGGAAGGCCACACGCCTCAGCATGCGGCTTCTGCATGCTGGGGAGGCTTGGAGGTAGCACTGGCAGTGGCAGGGGGAGAGAGAGAGGGGCAGAAGACGTGGTCGTCTCGTTTTCACCTCGATCGGCTAGCGTTGCAGTGGAGAGCAGGACCGGGGAAGAAGCTGGGCATGAAGAGATATGACGAGCAAGGTGGAAGACGCGGAGGGTGGTGGTGGTGTTGGTGTGGTGATGATTTGGGGTTAGCGAATTCGCAATTAATAAATTCACTCTTGGCCCGATGCCGCGATGGCGATTTATGTGTGGCACGCCCAAAGCAACGGCTCCATCGAGAGAGAGAGAGAGAGAGAGAGGGAGAGGTCAAAGCAGATAAACTTAGGTGCAGAGTTAAATTTTAGCCCCTGGATCGGGGTCGGGTCATACTAGTCAGAGAGCCTGTGCGCTACTTGGGCAACTACTACGTGGACTTCTCCTTCCTACGAGTCGGAGAGGAGGAATTGCCCCATCGCAGCCCGGTCCGGTCACACCTCCGCTCCAGTAGTCCAGTCTCCACCCATGGTGTGTCTGCCTAGGAATTTTTGCTGTTGACGAGCTTTGAATCCGGATTGCCAAAAAGATGGCAGTGTAAACCAAATCATTCTCTCCTGTGTGTTACCAAAGAGCGTCGATTCTATACTTGAACATAACGAACAGCACACTCCTTTTTTCTTTTTTACGAATTATAGACGAAGACACTAATACATATACTCAATATTGCAATGAGATAATATATCTCTACTCTCTTGAAAGATTATAAAGTAATCATCTACCGATGATACCAAATACATCCCGACTCCACTTCGGCTCCTCTTCCGCGTTCAAAAGCAACGGATATGAAGTCCAGATCTGACACGAACTCCTTCCTATGAAGACTCGATCCGACACGAATTCTTACCGCGTCCGATTTCAACGTCGTTGTGTCCACCGTGCAAATATGTTATTATTTCGTCCAATCGTGCGTGCACCAAAAAACTCCAATGAGTACGCGCGCACCAAAACCGAGTCTCAAACCCTGTGTTCACGCAACTCCTCCGCAGAAGTCTGGACTATGGGGCACGAGCAATAGCTTGAACCCATCGTCCATAGAAATTTATCCCTGTCCGGCTAAGAGTACGTGACGTGGGAAATAAAGGAAACACCTTTGTTACCCAAACCAGATTTTACGTGACTCTTCTTTACTTTGGTAGTCGATTTTCAAATTAAGCATCTATAATGATATAAATATAATTCATAAAAAAGAATGAATTTAAAATTAGAAAAAAATGAGAGGGATAAACTCCCTCTGTAAAAAAATAAATCAAGCTCCTAAAAAACAAATAAATTGGATTTAGTTAAATATTTTTATTTTTAATTTTGTACTGTCGTAGCAGATTATTTAGTTGTTTTATCTCACATAGACAAATAGTATGTCAGACTAAAAGAAATTCACCTTAGGATCTCGTAGTTGTAGGTAGTTGTGATGAACACTAAGAATTGGATTGATTTGATTTCAGATGATCATGTCAAAACTTGAGTTATGTTCTAATTGGACATGAATCAAAAGGACCAATCTAGCTACAAATGTAACGTTGCGAGTATTTTTTTGATAATATAGTATAACACACGGTTACATATAAATTATAATGATATCATTTTTTTCCGTGCAAAGCACAGGCATGATTTTAGTAGAGAATAAAACAACGGAGCTGCTAGCGCTCCGACTGTCCGGACCCTCACGCCTGCTGCACCCCACGTACTACGCCCACCCGCACGCCTGCGCCTGCTTCATGTGGGGGCACACAGTGCTTCGTTTCCCATGCATATGCGCACCCATGCAGGGGCCACGTCTCGATTTGCGCCTGCTGCTCGTATCCCCTCCGCTCCCACACGCATGCACGGGGCCTAGTAGCTAGCAGGTGGCTCCTATAGGTGGGTCTCACTGCAACATGTGCAATGCCATATCTATTTTTGTAACATTCAGATAAAACATTTGCATCGTACATTCAAAAATAGATAAAACATTTGGGACATATACTTGAAACACCATTGCAACATGTCCAACATCTATGATCTACTTTTGAAACATCTAGATGCAACACTTGCAACATATAAAATAAGACAAATGAAACACTTGAAGCATGCCTCTGAAACACTTTAAAACACTTAAAAAGTCATTGCAAACATACGTAAATACTTATAACATATGTGTGCAACATATGCAATCTCCAGATAAACACACTTGCCAAGACTCTAGGTTCTCCTTCTATTTTGAAGGAGCCGAAAGGAGATTCATAAATAAACATCCAGTAGTGCGATGATATGCATCTTGTTGTGACCAGGGTTTGGAATGCGAGTCAAATTTTTTGCGATTTTTGGTTCTAGCAATGATCTTTGGTAAATATGTATGTATCGGTAAATTTGTTTTCCTTGCAGATGAGATTGTTCAGATTTTCAAATTTTAGTTAAAATTTCATATAAGTTTCAAACTTTGTGAACTTTTTGCGATTTTATTCCTAGTGGCCCCATCTGATATTTGTATCGCTATAGTAGACTTAAACCCTAGTTCTAACCCAACAAGGGTTAAAATCCTAGTCCCATAAAATGAGCTGCACGGAATTTATGCTGCTTTTCTTTTTGCATGTTCATGTACCTTCTGTCTCTTTTCTCGACCTTGTTTTGAGATTCCCTTCTTAATGGAATGCCTTGGTGGATTTAGGGAAGGAGCATTCTGCACAATTATATATATTGTCTCTATTATCACAGTTGAGTAATAATCTAAAGGGCAACTATCACTTCACTTTTTTTTGCCTTAGATATAAAATAAAGGGGTCTAGATCAAATCTCTCTCTCTCAACCTTATCTTCTCTCTTCATCCTCCGTCTGACCAAGACACATTGCTCGACCTTACCGCCCCGCCTCCCCACCCAGCTCCAGTAGCTCCCAACCACCATGGCCCGGGCCTAAACCCATCAGATATGCCTCCTTGCAATCTTCTTCATCTTTGGCCGAGCTCACGCTGCCACAGCCACCCATCCGACTTTGTGAGCGTCCTGCCACCTACATTGTAACGGCCCGAGTTCATTACACAATAGGCTATCATTTTTTGATATCCGAGACACAACCCATCGAACTCTATGGACATCCTTAACAACCCAAAACAAAGAAATGCTACGTCCTAGCAACCAACTAACCAACGACACACCGACTCAACTACCGGTCAACTATAGTCAACCGGACGACCACCGAATAAAAGTATCACGTGAAGAACCCAATTCAAGGCCCTTGTATGCATTAAAGGGTTCAGTAAGGCCATTGCTGTGGTATCCGAACCACCTTCCACTAGAAACTAACACCTCAAAAGTGAGCTACATTGACAGTTGGTTTAAATGGCGAGCCACCCTAAGGGAGAACTCTTCCACATTTTACACTAAGCACCTCAAAAGTGAGCTACATTGGTTCTTGGAAATTATTTATTACAATACCGCTTCAATTTAAACAATGGAATGCACACCCATCTAGCGGAAACTCAAAACAATCTATATTTTACATCTAAGAATCCAATAATAAGAACTACTCCTTAAGTTGCACCCGCAATAGGGGTAAAATAAACCCTGAGTACACAATACTCAAAGACTTAGTCCATTTTTCCATACAGTACATAGAGTTCTTGAAAATTATTTATTACAATACGAGTTCATGAGTGCTTTATTATCTAACCATTCTAGGTATAATTAAACAATGGAATGAAAATAAGCATCTATTGTGTGTGAGTAACGGACTTCTAGACCATCTACAAACAACAGACGGTCCTTAATCGACACGAGAAGGGAAAAAATGTAACTAAAGCTAAACCCGTTATCACGGGACACAACCTTACACACCCAACAATATCCATACCATATCCAACCCATTCCACTCCATTTTCTTTTCATCATTTTATTATGAAAGTAATAATAATCACCTATTGTGTGTGAGAAAGAGCTAACCCATGACAACTCACGCTTCCCACTCTCACCAAAAAGGGATAATAAGTCTAACTGATAGCCATCTACTTGAACGGTCCTTAATCGTACACAAGTAAGACTCGTAGGACATATATATCTATGCATGTGGTTTCCATATCCCCCGCCTCGACTCTATTTTCTTTTCATCGTAAATGCACATAACATATATTGTGTGTGTGAAAAAGCAAGTGATTATCCAAAAATAAGGGGTTATGTCAGTCAGTGGTGGCTCTGGGACCTCCTCCTACATGAGAATCTCCTCCTCGTACTCCTTGATGATCTCCTCGAACTCGTGATCGCCGGTGGTCACGATCTCCGCCAACTCGTTCTCTACATGCATACGATGATGATGCAACACTTAATATTTAAGCAATAACAACTCCTAAACTAAGAATACGCATACTAAGCTACTAAGCTAGCTCTAATGACTAAGGTACTAAGCAAACTATCATATTTACGAAGCAAAGTGTTGGGTTCAACTAACAAACACCTAGCTTTATAAATGAAGGATATATCTTTATTTCTACTAATGATTTAATGTATATTTGAAACAAAGAACATTTAACTACCCTAATGCTTAGTCTATTCTAAAGCTACAAAAATTATAGTGAGCACATAATAATATAACGAAGCTACCATAAAAATTTCAGGACAAAAGCTATCACCAATTTACCACAAAAATTCCTACAATATTTAACCTAATAATATTAAGCACTCTCCCAAATGATTTAATAGATCATGGTATCAATATGTATATATATATGAACTAAATACACTAACAGATAGAGCATAATTTTTGGAACCTAACAAAATTTGTTTCTCAATTTTTAGACACCTACATGATTTTATATGATTTATCAAAGATTAGCTCAAAAATTAAATTAGAAAACTATTTCTAATTCCTTATGAAAAAGAAAAAACG